TTTTTTTTTTTTTTTTTTTTTCTGGAACTCGATCATCTTTTTGCCCAGCAGCAGAAAGAGACTTCAAATATGCTGTTGAAAAAAAGATGGTATAACCTTCTCCCTCGATTCTCTAGAAACGTGAATCAATTCAGGACAAAAAATTGACAATTTATGTTAGCTAAATTGTATAAAACTTATAATCTCTCCGATAAGAGTTGCACAAGTATCCAACTAATTTGATGACAACCCAGTGTAATAGTTCATCAACGATGACACTGAGGGGAAACAGTGTGCCTATAGCAATCTCAGCTTGTATGAACTACTTCATCCTTGCCAAAAACCTAAAGAAACTAAACATTTGTCGGGTATCATTGCTTTGTTGCTCTCCATTGTCAACGTGGAAGTTAGTGTAAACTTATTGCACTACAACATTGGGATTAGATTAGAGTATTGAGTTCTAAAGACTTGACTCGGTGAAATATGCGATTTGATTATGAAGTTCTATGGATTTGACATCTTGGTGAAAGTCATTGTGTACAAATGTAAAATGATTTATGACGAACCCTATTCAGTCATACCTCTTCAAGAATCGCTGTGTGGTTGATTATCACACGGCTAACAAATTTTCAACCATATTGCTCAGTAATCATTCCAATGGTTGTTCAGTGTCTCAATGACCACCCAACTGCATATCTGGCCTCAGCTCTCAATGGCAAATCCAAAATCTTTTGATCTGTTCATCACCTTAACTAATACAACTAAGCCACACAACATGATACAACATTCAACTATAATATTCTCAGATTAACGTGTTACCAATACCCACCACGAAAGTGTGGGAACCCCATATAACATTTATATTTCAGGATGAGACACGCTGGACAACGCACATTAATTGCAAAAGAGAATAGGATCAAAATGTTTGTATCAATCGCAAAACCTTAACACAAGTAATGTTATACGAGCCAAGACAGGCATATGAGAATGGGAAACATACAGCCATTAGCCAGGCTCAGCAAAATGCTTCAATACGATACAGCAGCTTTAGATATAAACCCATTTATTATTATAGTTGGAAAATTAACATACACAATCTACAATGATACTCGAAATAGGTCCCAATATTCTTGATAGAAGCGGCAACACTTCACCGCAGTCCTTTCCAAGATTAAAAAAACATTCACACATCACATGAATGTTTGCTCCATCGAATTGTACTAGCACTAATGATATCAATACAAAAAACGAGGACACAAATGAAACAAATTAGAAAGAAAGCAGTTCCACTAAAACCAGCATAAAATTTAACAGTGTCACTCAAAGAAGCGCATTCAAGAATTCATTCATAAACCAAATGCAGAGTAATAAACCACTCTATCAGCCACGATTCCATAAACATACAACAAGCATTGCAACAACTTCACACGCACCAAATTATCAGTTTCGACCTAAAGGCAAAGACCTGCAAGAGTATGTCTCCTTGAAGTCCGACTTTTTCGACGAAGCAAAAATGGAAGCATAAACAGATTTGGTAGCATTAGCTGGAACTATATCGATTGCCTTAAACTTCTTTGCCGAGCCTTTTATGTCACCTTTTTTTCCGTTCTCTTCTATACCGTGTTTCGACCCGGTCAACCGCCCAGTATCTTCTCCATTCTTGAGCTTCTTCACTTTTTTCACATTATCTTTAGCTCTGGCCTTTGCCTCCTTCAGTTTTTCCCAGAGCTCCTTAACCTCCTCTTCTGTCCCATTAATAACAATCTTATCACTCTCAACAAACTCCTTGTGACAGATCAAACAAGACGAGGACTTCACCTCCTTGAAACCCTTCGCGCTCAGCACGTGCCCACAGCTTTTGATGGCGTAGAATTTATACTTACCATTGAATTCGAGCCCCGTTATCGGGCAATGGAATTTGACTGTCCCGATTCCCTTAGCTCCCGAGATCTCAGCCAGCTCGACGGGGATCATGTCTTTCAGGCCCTTGATGTACCAAAACTCCTTAGGCAAATTCTTCTTCAGCAAGGCCTCGACCAGAGCCTCTTTGTTGAAGAGATTCCCGAGCTTATCGAGGACGACGGGGTGCCTCAGGGGCTCGTTGGACAGGCTGCAGTTGAGCCACTTGGAGAGGCGCATCTCGTTCGGGTCGACCTTGTCGGGCTTCTTCACAGCGTACATGTTCAGGTAGCAGTCGCGGGACTCCGCGCCCGTGGCGCCGCCATCTCCGCCGCCGCCGCGGAGGCGGGCGTGAAGGGTGAGGGTGGAGAGAGGGGCGACGGCGGAATGGACGGGAGTGGAATCAGGTAGCGGTTTGCCATTGAGGGTGAAGAAAAGCGAGTCGTGGGGGATCGGGTTTGAAGGGAAAAGGGATGATTTGATGTGGCGGAGGGTGAGATTAGGGTTTGGGTTTGGGAAAATTAGGGGGCGGGAGGGGATTTGGAGATCTGGGGACTGCACAAAGATCTGGAGATTGCGAGGTGTTCTTGGCTTCATGGTTGCAGAGAGAAGAAAAAATGGCGTCTTTGGGAGAAAAAAGGGCTCGAAGCGAGACGAAGAAGATAAGAGGTTGCACGGAGAGTTTGGTGCACCGAGTTGTGAATAGGCGGTGATGGCGTCGTATGAAATAGCGGCGCACGGTTGTAGTCGTGTTGGGCTTTGGAGGACTCCCCGTAATTTTGATATGGGCTTTTTCAGGACAAAAACCTACTGTAATATGGGCTGTGGTATCTGTGCCAAAAATCCACTACTATTTATTGTTAGATGGCCCGTGCATTACAGAGTAGGGGTGGGATTTTATACCCGATAACCGAGAATCGAACCGAAAATAACCGGTTCAGCCCGGTTATTCAAAAAATAAAAAAAAAAAAAAGTTTTTTTCGGTTCCGGTTAATTTTTGTAAAACCGGTTTCAGTTTCCGGTTCTTTTCCAAATGTATGTGTATTAACTGAGGAACCGGATATATATATGAAATATGTATGTTTTATATGTTTATATATATGATTCACTTCCGTTCTTGGTATGTAATATTTGGTTTTTTATTTTTGCAATTCGATTCTCAGTTTTTATGATACTTTTCGTTCATGAGTTGCAATATTTTGATCGATTCTTAATTTAAAACCGGTTATTGTCGTTTATTTTTCATTATTCGGTTACCCGAATGATGTAGCGAAAGCGTGAACGAACGGGAAGATACAAGGAGATACTCTCTCCAGAACACGAGTTACTCTCCCAAAAGAAATCACGATCAATTATTTTCATTCATCAAATTCTGCTCCTCACCAAAACAGAAGAGCCCTTTAAATGAAGGCTTCAAACTCAACCCTAGCTTAATATCCAGGCAACTAATAATAATAATAATAATAATAATAATAAACATATATATATTCTTCATCATTCTCCCCCGGTTGAACAGGATTCGGCCTCGAATCCGACCTGTTCCCGTTGGAGAAGTCACCAGGACAGGAATAATCCAGATTTTCCCCGATCGAACACGAAGCTCGAAGGTCGTCCAATCGCACCGGCGAACACAAATTCGGGCATGTATACAATGGTCGGAAAAGCAAAGGGGTCTACTTCCCGATGCAGAATCCCAGAAGCCGAACGAAAACCATAATCACTACAGCCAGAACGTCCACTGGGGGAAGATTTCGGAACAAACAATCCAACAATGTCCCGACAGCTATTGAGTCCCGAAGGCGCTTCCAAAAAACCATCCGTCGCAAAAATATGTTGAAAATTCGGTCCAAACGACGGGTG